CAAAAAAAAAAAAAAGGTTGAGAAGGGAGAGGGTTGACATGTCGTGGGGTTATTAACCAATGTCATAAAACAATGTGTACTGACTGTTTGTTCTGTAAACCTTCACCTAAAGTACAATTTAAAAAATAAAAAATAAAAAAAAGATAGGAGTCAATCTGAAATCGGCTTCTGGCAATTGAATAGATCTGTATGATATGCACTTCTGTGTGCTCATTCACTCAACAAATATTTACCAAATGTCTGTTAGGTACCAGGCAGTTTTACCCACCAGGAGTACAGCAGCAGTGAAAAAAAAGAGACCAAGTCCCTGCCCTGGTGGAACTTACATTCTAGGTGAGGAGAGACATACAAAAAACAAGAAGCCAGGTAATAGTAAGTACTAAGAAGAAAAACAAATCAGGAGACAGGGAGGGTGCAGGAAGTGCTGCTGGTCAGAGAAGCCCTGAACAAAGGGAGGGAGTGAGCCATGCCATTATCTTCAAAAGTGCTCCAGGCAGGGGCAAGAGCAAGGAGAACACCAGAAGGGTCAGAGAACAGCAGGAGAGCCAGAATGGCTGTAGGATGAGTTACAGAGTTAAATGCTAATCTTACCCCTGTTATTGTTCTACTCTGGCTTTCCTTTTTGCCTCCATTCTCTCAGATAGTCATTTTATCCTTTTGCATTGTACTTATTTTTATAACCTGCTGAACTCCTCTGGAAATGAGACAAATTAAAATATGGTATTGTTTTTGTTAGGTGCCATCGAATCGGTTCTGACTCATAGCAACCCTATGTACAACACAACGAAACACTGCTCGGTCCTGCACCATCCTCACAATCATTGCTATGCTTGAGCCCATCATTGCAGCCACTGTGTCAATCCATCTTGTCAAAAGTCTTCCTCTTTCTCACTGACCCTCTACTTTACCAAGTATGATGTCCTTCTCCAGGGATCGGTCCCTCCTGATAACATGTCCGAAGTATGTGAGACATAATCTCGCCATCCTTGCTTCTAAGGAGTGTTCTGGCTGTACTTCTTCCAAGACAGACGTGTTCGTTCTTCCGGTAGCTCATGGTATATTCAATATTCTTTGCTAACACAGTAATTCAAAGGCATCAATTCTTCTTCGGTCTTTCACATTCATTGTCCAGCTTTCACATGCATATAAGGCGATCGAAAATACCATGGCTTGGGTCACGGGTACCTTAGTCCTCAAAGTGACATCTTTGATTTTTAACACTTTAAAGGTCTTTTGCAGCAGATTTGCCCAATGCAATATGCCTAATTGGGTGAGTGAATTAAAACATACTCACCCAACTAAAATTTTAGATGAATTGTGATCTTTCAAAATTAAGCAAAAAAAGCAAATGTCAATGGGTGTGGACAAAGTTCATGCCAGCTTCTATGTATGAATAATTTCAGAAAGTGAGGGGAAAAAGAAAGAAAGGAGTGAGGTCTGTGACTACAGAAAGGCTATTTGCTGAGCTTATTGCTGTCATCTCCTCCACTATTCCCAGATACTTGGGGAGAATATTTCCTAGCAATGAATGGAAGATTCCCAGGGAGGGAAGAGAGAACTTTTATCAAGCACCAACTATAATATGCCACATGTTATGCTTGACCCTGTGCAAGGCACTCACACTTATTCATTTAATCCTCAAAACAACCCTGGAACATGGATGTACTCTCTTACAGAAGAGGAAACTGGGGTGTAGAGACTTGGGAAGCTTTCCAAGGTCAAATGGCTACAAGGTGACAGAGGCACGATCAGAACTCAGACCTAACCAATCCCTGCCAACCAGAAGCCCAATGACTCAGTCTGCCCAGAAGGCAGAATGTCATTAGAAGCAGTTCTGGAGTTCCCCACCACCTGCACACAAAGAATCCTGCTGCTGAGGCCATCTCTGCCCCGATTTTCTGCTTTGTGCCCCCAAATGGAGCTGAATGTGTTGAAGCAAATGCTTCACTCCAGTAAGTCTTCCCTTCCTCCACTCAGCTCACCACCAACTCTTCTTCCCACCAGTAGGCAACATGTGCTTGATGGGGGTGGAAAGTGGGTAGAGAAACTAATCTCAAAATTTAATTCAGAAGGCAGATCTGTCTGGAGAAGAAGAATAAATGCCAAAGCGAAATACAATCTGTGAAATGGGGCTAAGCTATACATTTCCAGAACACTCTGGCCCAACCTCTGGCACTGCATTTTCACCACCATATACATCAACCTCCAATCCACCAGACCATGAACTCTGAGGGCAGGGGCTCTATTCTATCACCTCTACCTCACATCCAGCAGGATGGACAAAGGTTACTTCAGAGCAGCACCCTATCATTGACATAAATATTTAAAGCCTAACTAAACATTTACTCAAAAAAATAGAAACTGCTTTCAAATGATGTTACTTGCAAATAAAAATACCTAAGAGCACCACACAGAAACTGTTTATCTCCTTTCCCAGAAAGTAAGCTCCAAAAGGGCCAAATTTGTGCTGCTTAGGTCCCTGAAGTATCCCAAGAGCCTGAAACAGTCCCTGGGACATGAATGAACAGATGGATGGGTAAGCAGTGCAAAGGGAGAGCGGCAGCATGTTCATTAATTCCATGCATCTTTACTGAATGCCTAAGTGCTGGACTCTGCCTTAGGCACTGAGGATTCAGAGTTAAACAAGACATGGCTCCCGCCCTCAGGTTTACAGTGTAGTGGGAAAGGAAACAAACTAAACAAACTGAGTAGTGAAGTCTGATGGTTACAAAAGGGGAAAACAAACCCTGTGGACCCTCTCTGGGCCACCCTGCTTCTATGTCAGTTCTCCTCCCTTGGCTTCTGGATACTCCTCCCTACAGGCACTGTCCTGCGCCTCGAGCTGCTTTTCCCCAGTTTCTGTCCCAGGCCGCCTTCTCCTGCCTCTCACGTACTGGCAGCTGTCAGGTCTGTCTCTAGCCCAACTCCCACTCTAGTGTGGTCCCTGTGTCTCCCTAGTCTTCCCACCTGCACATCTTCACAGGGAAATGTCTCAGCCACGTTAGAAAAAGACTGCCCAGGACAGAACTCATCTATCTTTCCTCTTCCTGCATTCTCAGTGCCAACCAACAGCATCACCAGTTGCCTCTTGGGCTTCTCCATCACTCGGGCCCGTAGATCCTTTCTCCCCAAACCTCTCTCAGAACCACACTACTACTCTTACTAGAGCAACCTTTTCCACCCTCCTGGTCTGTGACAACAGTTTCCTAGCTGCCTTCTTCACCTCTACATTTTCCCTATTCCAGTTTTTGTATGAACTGCTACAAGAAATGGTTGTGGATGGTTTTCTGAAACAAAGATTCAGTCAAGTCCCTCCTCTAGAGGTCCAGCCCTGGCCCTGATCCTCAGGCTGCACCCTTGCCAGGACCCGCCCTGCCTATGCAACTGTCTGGGACTTGTTCAGACAGCGACCTCACTGCAGAACGCTGTCGCTAAGTGCCCCCACCCATCTCCTGAAATCCTTCTCATCCCTTAAAGATCAGAGGCCGGCACTGTGCCAAGCAGACACAAGGCCCCCAAGAAACACTGAAATAATCAATGTCCAGCAAAAATGGCACTTCTTCCATAAAGCCTTCTCTCCCCACCCCAGTAAGAATCCAATTCTCTTTCTTCATTATGCCCATGGTCTCTAGTTTATACTTCACATTTAGCATTTACATAATAATTGTGTTTCACAACTTTTGTCTGCCTCCTCCGTAAAACCATAAACTTCAGGCTGAGTGTCTGGCACGACAGATGCTCACTAAGAGTTGAATTCGAATGTAAGTGCAGGGGTAGAAAGTTAGACAATCATCCGGAGCTGTGCCCTCAGCCTTTGGTCTATCCAGGTGATGGAGAGCTCATGCCAGGCCAAAGATGCTCAAAAATGGTACTTGCTGTCCCTGTCACTGGGGATGGAAAACATCAACAACAAAGCAGGCAGTAAAACAAAGTAAAGCACTGGCTTGGAAGTCCCTTCTTTACACCTCAGTTTCCCCATCTGAAATGAGGCTAGTAACTCAGAGGACTAGTGAAAGTATTAAATGAAACAACAATGGGGAGTCCCAGTAGGGTGACCAACCAATCTGAAATGAGGCTAGTAACTCAGAGGACTAGTGAAAGTATTAAATGAAACAACAATGGGGAGTCCCAGTAGGGTGACCAACCATCCCAGCTGACTGAGGATGTTCCTGGGATGTGAAACCTTTTGTTCTAAAACCAGGAAAGTCTCAGGAAAATAGGAAGGAGTTGGTCACCCTAAATGCCTGGTACAGAGCCTGGAACACAGCTGGCGCTAATAACTGCTGGCAGTTTCCTCTGCATGAACTTCCTCCCCCTCCCATTTTACCAGCTGTCTTCGCTGACCTCATCATAAAAGTCTGAGGAATGTTTTGCATGCCACATCTGCCATGACCCTAACTCCTGTCCCCAGGCTCATATTTTCAAACCACACACTCAGAACGGAGTGCAGTGCCGCTCTGAGAGCCACAGGTACTGACTTGATGACCTTGGGGAGGGAGGTGGTATCCAGCTGGTAAATGGACAGGTCGAAGAGGGTAGTAAAGTCCCGTGGGTTCTCATCACCCTCCTGCAGACACACTCGAAGCCGCTCTGACAGGGTGGCTGTGTCGGGCAGCATCATGTAGTCAGAAATCTGAAAGCCACAAGAGGGTTCCTTTCAGCAGGGCAGGAGCAAGAATTTATTCTGTTAAGTCTCCACTGTCTCAGGTCTAAATCCACAATGTTTCCACTCTCTTGCCAAGAGATTTCATTGTTCTTGATCACTGACAACTAAACTTTAAATAACCAACCTTATGTGGAAAGAGGGACAGAACTCACTTGGATAAACCCCAGTGCTGGCTAAATCCAACTCTCCAATTACCCCACACCTGTACACACACAACCCAACACAGCTGAGGGAAAACACACAGCCACACTGACTGGTCTCCCTCTCATTTCATGACGCTGATCCTGAGGATGCTCCGCGATCACACTGTACTTCCCTAATCCATTCACTTCCCCACTTTCCTAGGCAATAATCTCTTTTTGTCATTTCAAATATTTGAAACTATTTTCCTTTCCTCAGTTTTAGGTGGTGACCTTATTTTCTATTTCACTGAGAAAATCGAGCCAACCATAAAGTCCACAAGCTCCTACTACAACATCTACCCACCCACCAGCATCTGGTCTGGATACTCTGATTTCTCTCCTGTTACATGTCTGACCTGCCTGTGATCCCAGCACAGGCAGCCCCTCCACTTGTCCACTAGATCCCAGCCCTTCTCATCTAGCCAAGGATATAACTCCAGCACTGCCAAGAGCCCTTGCTGATACACGTGTGTGCTGGTACAGAACATTCAAACAGTGAATACACAGTCTTAAAAAGAAAACAAGAAGATATGGAAATATCTGCAAATATGGAAAAATCCCCAAGATACATTATGCAGAGCAGTGTACATCATACCATTTGTGTAAAGGAAGGAGAAGGGACAGTATACACACACACGTTTGCTTATATATGTATAAAACATCTCTGGAAGAATATACAAGAAACTGCTAACATTGTCATCACTGGGGTGGGGAACAAAGTAGCTGGGCAAAGACAGGAAACTCCACTGTGTGAGCTTCTGCTGCTGAACTGTGTGACTACATTACCTATTCAAGAAATACATTAAATTTAACAAATGCATGCTGACAAGAAGTTTATTCCTAACTGGCTCTTTGAACTGCATTTAACCGTGACTTCCAATAAGGCCAGTGTGGGAGTAGTTTAAAAATAGGTCTTCTGAAGTCACTTGCAACATACTGTTCTACATTCTCTAGCTCCAGCACCTGAGGAGACATGCCTGAGCAATACAAGAATAATACAAAGTCAAGACGAATAAGCTCACTTATTTCTTTATCCCACAGGTCAAAAACTCCCCAATTCTCAAGCTCTTTTTTAAGACAAGAAACAATAGAGGCACAAAAACAAACAAATGCCCTTCTCAGCAACATCTGATTGTTTTCCTTCTAATATGACAGTGGGTTGAAGGTGAGAGCAAGTAGCAGGGCACTGACTGTGCCAGGCCACACACCCAGAACACATCACAGAGCTCAGTAAGGGGCCAGCAGCCCCAGAGGTCCCCAGGCTGATTCTCTCATCTTTCTCCACAGAGGCCTTCTACTAAGACCTAGTTCAGAAAACTATCATGGCCTTAGATGACGGGACAAAAACAAAAGCATGTTCCCAGGACCACTGGTTTTCATGACTTCCTGACAGATTTTGAGGTTAAAACTTCTAACGTAAATTCTTTAACCTCTATTAAGCTACCATTTTCTTTTACTAAAAACCATCTGAGATTGAGCCATTGGCTGCGTTTGAAAATCATTTTGATATAACAAGATTTGATCTGAAATCATACTTAGGAAGTTCAGACTTTCAAAATTTCTTACTTTGCAATGTTACTGGATCTAGCATTCTACTTTCCAAAGCCTTAAGATATACAGTACATTTTTCACTAGGTCTCCAACCTGGAAGATATGTGAAACTACATAGTTTTAGAGAAAGGCCTTAAAAACACTACTTCATTAACGTCCACTGGATTTCCATTAGTGCTTCCTTCCCGACCTAGTCCAGTGCCGTGTGCAGTGGACAGTGAACAAAAGAGTCGTAGAAAAGGCACCGGCTCGGCAATCAGCCTGACGTGAGTGTTAATAACAGCTCAGCCATGTATTAATTTAGGCAGGGACCTTGAAGAATTTACTTACTTCAGTTTCTGCAACTAGAAAGCAGGAATGAGAGAGGCACCACACAGAACATCCCTTAGCGTGCCTCCCTCGACCCATGACACTCTGACTAGGTCTGGCAGCTGCCCAAGAAGCATCCACTCAAGAGTTGGGTCCTATGAGATCTGAAAAGTGAATTCCTTACTGTACCCCAATTTTTTTATTCTTGGGGCTTATATCACTTTTCAGGAGGAATTTAAGCAAAATATCCATTTGCTTGATGTTTCTATAGAAGGGAATATTTGTAGACTTGGGGCTCTCCTGCTTCCTAACTCAAATCAGCCTCTGGGAGGTCACATCCTCAGCTGTGGGAGGATGCAGTCAGCGGATAAGCCATTTCTGATTGCCTTCTCACCCGTCTCCATCCATCCATGGCTAGGAAATCCTTTTCCTGACATTTGGGAGTTTAAGAAACAAAGAAGCAATTGTAGAATAAGTAGACTTTCAATCAGGAGACTTGAGTTTGGGTCCTGGCCCTGCACTTACTTGCTATTTGAACACACTGCAATCTTGCAGAATTTTAGTTTCCTCCTCTAAAAAAATGAGAATAAAACCACCTACCACACAGTGCTATTACGACGATTAAATAGGATGATTTATGAGGAAGCATGTGATATACAGCACCTGATAAGTATAAATGTTAAAATAAATTTTTCTAGGTATAGAGCATTTTTTACAACTTTTCATTCAGTAAGTAAATTCACATCTACTATTTAGTCCTCACAATCACCCATGAGGCAGACAGCACAGGTGTATCAGTCTCACATCACAAGTGAGAAAACCAGGATGAAAAAAGGTGAAAAATAACCTGCTTAAGGTCAAAGAACTAGTGGTAGAGCCAGACCTAGAATGTAGGTTATTAGGTTCCTATTCCAATGCTGGTTTCACCACTCTCCCTTGTCTGGCAAATATTATCATAATGCCTTTAGAATCTTTATTTCTAAAAGCAATAAAATTAGAGTTGAAAGCTTAAATTCTAATCATCTTTGTTTCTTCATAAAAAATTATTTGTTCTATTTTTCATATTTCTGAAAGAATTATTTCTCTATAGATACTGAGTTTAAAAGCTTAGGCCAACTAATTACTTATATAATTTATTTACTGTTTTTTTTGTTTGTTTGTTTGTTTTTTAACAACAGGGCCTTCATTCCCCAAAAAGCATCACTTCTTTCCCTCTGTCTTACAGACAAGATAGATGTATATTTTCTTGGAACTGTTAAAAGTTGTGCTGAGAGGCTGGACCCATTTTTCATTTAAGAGTTCTTTACTGATACACAACCTCCTACCTCTGGGTCCTCCGCGTCAATCTGGTTTAGGTGGATGTCTTCTGTTGTGAGCCACTGGAAAACAACATCCTGGATTTAAAAAAAAAAAAAAGGTACAGAATTAGACACTTGGTTACTTGAGAATGCAGAGGGTCAGAACCACAGATTTAAATCAATCAAGAAAAAAATGCTACAGGGAAAAGGACCAGACCTAGTGATTTGAAAAAGTATAGCCCAGCCTTCTCTTGGTTAAATTGTATGAAAACTTAAAGGTTTTTCCTCACCCTAGTGCAATTTTTATCATCGGAAATTTATAATTTATCTTAGGACACTCTAACCACAACCGAAAATTTATTAAACCTTGTTCACAGTCCTGAAGCAATCCCTGTTTAATGTGCTGAGGACAGTCTGAACTTAAAAGCAAAACTTTAAAAAGTAGAGTATTATATATAGATCCCTCTGGAATGCCATCTAGACATTCTTCACGCTGATTCCACAGAAACAAGATTTTAATTGATCTCCCAAAACAATTAGTTCCTAAGACTGAAGGAATTTATTTCAATAATGAAAATACTCAGTGGAAACCTCTCCTTTCCGCGAGTGATTCACCAGAATCACATCAACGTAGAGCTCTGCACACAATGTAAAGACGTTTGCTTCCCCACTCTATCATCCTCCACATGACCTGGTTCCTTTACACTAATTCTGACAGAGCAACTGCAATTCCTTTACTTCATTCCCTGAATAAATCAGTGACCCTCCTAAATACCACTCATGCACGTGAGACCCTCCTCTCTAGTCTCACCTTCACTACTTTTATTCAGGTGCTCATCCCTTCTTGCCTGGCTAACTTCACCAGCCTCCTAACTAGCTCTAAGTTGCCTCATCCACCCTACCTTGCACACAGCTAACAGAGGGGCCTGACTATGCCCATGCCTGCTGAAAACCCAGAAGGGCTTCTGGTGGCTTTCAGCATACAGCTAAAGCTCCTTGGCTTTGTGTGGGAGGCCCATGTCAAGCTTGCTCTTCACCATCTTTCCAGGGTCAGCTCTCACCCCAACTTGGCATGCTCAGATATGCTCACATCTTTCCGGACTTACTTATCTGTCTCTCAGGCTTTCTCAATGTACTATAAACTTTCAAGGCAGGGACTATGCCTGACTCATTGTTGTATCCTTAGTGACTGGCATATGAATAGCTGGACCCTGAATAGCTAGTTTTTAATGAATAAACGAATGTATCTGTATTTTTTAAATGACTGAATGTATCAATGACATTAAAATCATACCTACACCATTATACATTAATGATGAAAGAAAAAGGCTCACCATGATTTTGCTGTTTTCTTCTTTATCCAAATATTGGTCACTGAACATGTGACATGAGCCAAGCACTGCCAGTTTCCCACCTTGGTTCTAGCAATGACAATAAAAGCAGTGTCAGATACTCAGATCCCAAAATGTGCCACATGCATCCTAGTCCCCGAACATGTATAATCAGAATCATGTTAGCAGCTATCTTCTATACAAATCGATGCCAATTCACATCAAGGTTTTAACAGCCTAGAAATGTCAACTTATGATAACAACGACATTCTAGCCTGCTCTCATTTTAGACACTTTGATATTTTTCTGTTTGACTTTAACAAAAAGCAACATGAATTGAGTTCTATAGCAGTTTTCCCTTGTTGGTTACCTTATAGATGAAGATTATAATCTTAAAGGAAAAACAAATCCAAGATAATCTGTCCTGAGTTAAGAACCATTATAAAACTATACAAAGAGGTCAAAAAGACATTTATGAATACCAAAAACAGTGTTTAATTAAGAGTCAACCAGAGTACAGGTCACAAGCATGAAAACTTAACAAAAGAAATAACTGGTTAATAAGAAAAATTTGCAATTACTATTAGTAATTTTAAATAAATCAACACAAAGTATTTTTTGCCTATCAGATTAATATGAAAAAAATTATTATAAACAGTGTTGGTTAGGATTCAGTAAAATAAGTTATTTTATACACTGTTGCTGAAGCTGTCAACATATGCATCAAAGAAATCTGAAATATATAAAAAACTCTATGCACAATTTTATATTTATAATCACAAAAAATTCGAAATAAATCCAAATGTTCAACCACAGAAAAACGATTAAGAATAATGGAGACTCCTTCAGTTGTTAAATTATATATTATAAAAGGGCTTACAGTAACACGGGAAAATGCTTCTATCATAACATCAGGACACCATAATTTGTACAGTTAACCTAGTTTAAAGGCTGTGGAGCAAATAAACAAAAATGAGGCACAAGCAAAAGTGGGAGCAAATCATCAAAATGTCAGTCTGGACTCCCTTGGAATAGTGCTATGGGAGCATTCTGTTTTTCTTCGTCATCTCTGTATTTTCCAATTTTTCTACAATGAACATACACTACTTCTGTAATAAGAAAAAACAGTACAATATCAAAAATACAAGATGAAACCAGTTTTCCTAGTTACATCACATAGAAGGAACAGGCACAGCTATAACAGCCCTTAGGAAAAGAATTACACCAAAGCCAGAGAAGTCAAAAGATGTAAATACACAAATCCCATTAATTAAAAAATCTTTAACCTGCACCACATTAAAAGCAAATGATTCATAGGAAAAATAACAACAATACTATTACTATATCATAACCACTGAAAATAGATCAGTTATACTTAGAATAGGAAGTCAATTTGGTAGAATGCTACAGAAAGGAAGGGGAAGTGACCAGATGAACTGTGCTGTGACATGAATCTATATTTAGAAGTAAATACAGGAAGAGAAGTTAAAGTGAAGAACTTTTATTTCCCATTACTGCTGAGTTAGGCTTATATGTTCCTTTCCTTAATATTGTTTTCTTTTTCCCTAACTTATTTATTTCAAACACATTACAGATTTTCCTTTAAACCATTTATTCTGTCCTGACAGAGATTCTATCACTATCTTCAGCTTCCTTTCCCAGCAACTGTCTGTAATTTGTTTCAGTTACACAAGAGCATATCTACTCAAGGGCCAATTTTCTCCTTCAATTTTAACAAGTCTACCCCAGTAAATCAAAGATCCAGAAAGAACCATGATAAGCTCATGAAGGCAATGGCACTGGGCAAAGAGACAGAACCACTGAGTGCTAGCCTGGCCCTGCTCATGGCTTCCAGGAAGATGGGGAGTGCCTCCCTCCCTGGCATCACTAGCTTATCTCACGAACTTAAGAGAGACAGGCAACACTCTCTCTAAGAGATTGTATTTATAAGGCAGGACTGAAAGCCCACCAAGAGGAGAAAATGGCAAGGAAATGGCCAGATGATCATCTTACGAGTTTCTGGAGAATCACCACATTCTGTGCTCAATTAAAGTTCAATAAAAATCCACTCTTAAGCCAGGTGAAATCTCTTGTGCACAGTCTTGTTCCAGAATTAAACTACCTGAGGACCCTTAAAATAGTACCTCATTACTTTTGTGCCAATAAATTGATAGTTTATGTAAACAATTATTATTTTTACATCTTAAATCATTTGCTAATCATTTAATTTTAAAACAGCACTTCCAGCTGCTTGGGAGAGGCTAATTATGGTAATAGCTATATGAATTATGTTTCAATGTCATCTTTTAAACACAACAGAGACATTCATTCAGTCGCTAATAAAATGAGGACAGAGCTTTTACATATGACAGGGAAAGGAATACTTAGGTGCCACAAAGAAAAACAGGATTATAAGGAATTAGTGGCATCGAGGTCCCTAGAGGAAAGACTGGAGGTCAGCTAGGGAATTCTATGAGGGTAAATTCAGTAAAATATTAATTAATAGGCAGTGGAAAAGTGGGGTCATAATGAGGCTGTTGGAGTCCCTGGGGGGCACAGTTAAGCACTAGGCTACTAACCAAAAGGTTAGCCGTTCAAACTCACCCAGATGTGCCTAGGAAGAAAGGCCTGATGATCTGCTTCTGAAAAGTCACAGGCTTGAAAACCCTATGAAGTGCAGTTCCACTCTACACAAATGCAGTTTCCACGAGTTGAAACTGACTCAAAAGCAACTGGTTTTGATTTTTTGGAATGAAGCTGTGTCCTCTAGGACCACCTGTTCCCACATTTCTGTGGGTCTCCAGGATGAGAACTGGACAACTGGTCTTCTGTTTCAAGAGAAGCAAGATTCTGTGTCATTTGGTGTAATTTACCTCAAACTTTCTCTGAAAGGGTTCTCTTTACATCGACAGTGAGACCCTTCAGTCATGGACAGGATGACATTTTTGTTGTTGTTGTTGCTGTTAGGTGCCATCAAGTCCATTCCGACTCATAGCGACCCTGTGTACAACAGAATGAAACACTGCCTGGTCCTGCACCATCCTCACAATCATTGCTATGCTTCAGTCCATTGCTGCAGCCACTGTGTCAGTCCATCTCACTGACGTCTTCCTCTTTTTCAATGACCTTCTACTTTACCAAGCACAATGTCCTTCTCCAGGGATTGATCCCTCCTGACAACATGTCCAAAGTATGTGAGACACAGTCTCGCCATCCTTGCTTCCAAGAGCATTCTGGTCACACTGCTTCCAAGACAAATTTGTTTCTTTTGGCAGTCCATGGTATATTCAATATTCTTTTCCAATGCCACAATTCAAAGCATCAGTTCTTCCTTGGTCTTCTTTGTTCATTGTCCAACTTTCACAGGCATATGAGGCAAATGAAAACACAACGGCTTGTGTCAGGCTCACCTTAGTCTTCAAGGAGACATCTTTGCTTTTCAACACTTTAAAGGGGTCTTTTGCAGCAGATTTGCCCAATGCAATGCGTCTTTTGATTTCCTGACTGCTGTTTCCATGAGTATTGATTGTGGATCCAAGTAAAATGAAATCCTTGACAACTTCTATCTTTTCTCTGTTTATCATGATGTTGCTTCTTGGTCCAGTTGTGAGCATTTTTGTTTTCTTTATGCTGAGGTATAATCCATACTGAAGGCTGTGGTCTTTGCTTCATCACTAAGTGCTTCAAGTGCTCTTCACTTTCAGCAAGCAAGATTATGTCATCTGCATAATGCAGGTTGTTAATGAGTCTTCCTCCAATCCTGATGCCCCGTTCTTCCTCATATAGTCCAGCTTCTTGCATTATTTGCTCTGCGTACAGACTGAATAGGTATGGTGAAAGAATACAACCCTGACACACACCTTTCCTGACTTTAAACCATGTGCTATCCCCTCGTTTTATTCGAAGAACTGCCTCTTGATCTATGTACAGGTTTTTCATGAGCACAATTAAGTGATCTGGAATTCCCATTCTTCGCAATGTTACCCACAATTTGATATGTTCCACACAGTTGAATGCCTTTGCATAGTCAATGAAACACAGGTGAATATCTTTCTGATATTCTCTGCTTTCAGTCAGGATCCATCTGACATCAGCAATGATATCCCTCGTTCTACATCCTCTTCTGAATCTGGCTTCAACTTCTGGCAGCTCCCTGTCGATATACTGCTGCAGCTGCTTTTGAATGATCTTCAGCAAAATTTTACTTGCATGTGATATTAACGGTATTGTTCGATAATTTCTGCATTCAGCTGGATCACCTTTCTTTGAAATAGGCAGAAATGTGGATCTCTTCCAGTCGGTTGGCCAGGTAGCTGTCTTCCAAATTTCTTGGCATTCATGAGTGAGCACTTCCAGTGCTGCATCCATTTGTTGAAACATCTCAACTGGTATTCCATCAATTCCTGAAGCCTGCTTTTCGCCAATGCCTTCAGTGCAGCTTGCACCTCTTCCTTCAGTACCATCAGTTCCTGATCATATGATACCTCCTGAAATGGCTGAACGTTAACCAGTTTTTTTCAGAAGAGTGACTCTGTGTATTCCTTCCATCTTCTTTTGATGCTTCCTTCATCATTTAATATTTTCCCCACAGAATCCTTCAATATTGCAACTCGAGGCTTGAATTTTTTCTTCAGGTCTTTCAGCTTGAGAAATGCTAAGCATGTTCTTTCCTTTTGGTTTTCTAACTCCAGGCCTATGCACATGTCATTATAATACTTTGTCTTCTCGAGCTGCCCTTTGAAATCTTCTGTTCAGCTCTTTGACTTCGTTTCTTCTTTTCGCTTTAGCTACTCAACGCTCAAGAGCAAGTTCCACAGTCTCTTCTGACATCCACTTTGGTCTTTTCTTTCTTTCCTGTCTTTTTGATGACCTCTTGCTTTCTTCACATACGATGTCTTTGATGTCATTCCACAACTCATCTGGTTTTTGGTCATTAGTGTTCAATGCGTCACATCTATTGAGATGGTTTCTAAATCAGGTGGGATATACTCAAGGTCGTACTTTGGCTCTCGTGGACTTATTCTAATTTTCTTCAGTTTCAACTTGAACTTGCATATGAGCAATTCTGTTCCGCAGTCGGCCCCGGGCCTTATTCTGACTGATGATATTGAGCTTTCCATCGTCTCTTTCCACAGATGTAGTCGATTTGATTCCTGTGTATTCCATCTGGCGAGCTCCATGTGTACAGTCGCCATTTATCTTGGTGAAAAAAGGTATTTGCAATGAAGAAGTCGTTGGTCTTGCAAAATTCTATCATGCAATCTCTGGCATCATTTCTATCACACCAAGGCCATATTTTCCAACTATTGATCCTTTGTTTTCAACTTTCACATTCCACAGAGTTACAGTACAAGGGGAATCACTGCTTAGAGGGTATTGAGCTTCTGTTAAGGGTGATGGAAAAATCTGAAAACAGTTGCAATGGTTGTACAACATGATGAACGTAATTAACGTCACTGAATTGTACATGTATAAAAGGCTGAAATGGCAAATGTTTTGTTATATATATCTTACCATAACTGGAAAAAAAAAAAAGAGTTACAATACAGGCAGTCTCGTGCAAGTGGAAAAGCTTTGGATTTAGAAATATATAAGCTAGGTTTAAGCCCTGACTCCACTGAGGATTTCCCCATATGTAAAATGTGGATAATAAAAGCACTTCTTCACAGGATTGTCATGAAAAGCAATGAAAAAATATGCGAAACCTCTCTGGAAGTGGTAAAGTACTTCTTACTATTTCAATAATAAAAATAGCATATATGCTCCTATCTAAGAAAGGCTGTACCTTGGAGTGATAGAAAGCCAAAATGGGTCGGTTAAGTGGGAAGCAGACAGAGCCTGTGGACAGAACAGCCACTGCTGGTTTCATGACACTCAGTGTGGCACCAAAAGGATAGACAAACGTGAGAGCCCTGTAAGAAATTGAAGACACACAAAATTTTTTAAAAATATGTTTAAAAATTCTGTAGATTATCTCAGCATATCTTGAGCAATTCATCATCAAACAAAAAAATTTCCTCTAAGCTTTAGTTTTATAACTCAAAAACTGGGACAAGACTAACTGCAAGTTTAATAAGACATTTTGAGAAATACATATGTAAATTAACAGGAAAGTATAAGCGATTTTAACTGGAAGAACTAAATCAGCCCCTATGTGGGAAAGGAAGATGATGGGGCCTCATTTGAGAACTGAACCAGGGCTATACATGAGGAGAAATTTCAGGGCTTCAGCTTCATATCCCCAGCTAGTCCCACAGCCATGCTTTGGGGAAGGAAAAGAAAAAGTGAGGTGGGTGAGGAGAAAATGTAAGAACTCAAACTGCTCTGAATAATGTCTGGCTGTTGTTGTTAACTACCATTGAGTCAGCCCCCAACTCATGGCAACCTCATGCACAATGGGATTGGACTGTTGTAACCCTTAGGGTTTACACTGGTTGATTTTCAGAAGCAGACTGCCAGCCCCTTCTTCTTAGTCTGTCTTAGTTTCCAGCTCCACTGAAACCTGCTTATCACCACAGCAACACACAAGTCTCCACTGACAGATGAGTGGTAGCCATGCTTGAGGTGCACTGGCCAAGAATTGAACCTGGGTCTCCCACATGGAAGGTAAGCATCCTACCGCTGAACCACCACTGCCCTATAATAAAGTCTAAGAGGTAAATATTTCCCCCTCCTCAGAGATTTGGCTGGTGCTGTGTCTAAGAATTAATGTTTGTCATTGGAAAGGTATGTTACCAGTTGAATGCTTACATGAATAAAGATGCATGTATTTACCCCACTTTGGTTGGGATACTTCCATGCAAACCTGCCTTGAAGTCCATCTACTTTCCACTGTCCTAACAAAGACCTAGAGTATCTAGACTGAATCCATCTGACTTGTTTATAATAACAATATAGAACAGAGGTTAAGAATACAAGCTCTGGAGTGGACTGTCTAGGTTTGAATCTAAGTTTGACACTTATTAGTTGTGTCAGCTTGAGCAATTAACCTTTCTGTATGTCATCTATAACCTTACAGGGTTATTGTGAGAATTAAATGAGTTAATACCTGCCTGACACACCGTAAGTGCCCAATAAACATTAAACCAAAAACCTGTTGTCATCAAGTCGATTCCAACTCATAGCAACCCTACAGAAGACAGAGTAGAACTGCTCTACAGGGCTTCCAAGGCTGTAATCTTTATGGAAGCAGACTGCCGTATCCTTCTCCCAAAGAGCTGCTGGTGGGTTAAAACTGCCAACCCTTCAGTTAGCAGCTGAGCACTTGACCACTGCACCACCAGGGCTCTTTCAATAAATGTTAGGTGGTATTATTATTAAAGCAAAATATCATAAACCACTTAAATGTTCAATAATAGGAGACTGGTTGGATAAATTAAGATATATCCAATTTAACCCAGTCATCAAATAGAACAGGGTATCTATATAGGTTGTTATATATGAAAAAAATCTAGAAACCTAAACACCATACTGTTAAGACTAATTTTTTTTTGGGGGGGGGGGCATGGATTTGCAATGGAAGACTTCTATTTTCTATCTTTTGAACTGTTTAAACTGTTTTTTTCGTGAAAATTACTTCTGTAATCAGAAAGGAAAACTCTTCATTTTGAAAAACGGAAGGAAAAAAAACACAACTCTTAAAAATGACAAATCCTCATCAGGCCTCAGAAAACATACTCACTGGGCATTATTTCCACTACTCTCCTCATCAATGATTCCAGGCACAGCCTTCCCTGCAGCTCGGCTAATTTCCCTTGAAGAAAAAAAAATCTATTTAAAAAACTTCAGAATTTTACACTGCATTCATTAATAGTAAGCATGAACTAGATGCAAGAATTTTGCAGTTTTCAGCGTACAACTTTTTAAAATTAAATAAAAGTACACCCTCAGCTCTAAATTCCCACCTTAATTTAGAGGCCATCTCAAGACTAGATTTGATGCATTGAACACTAATGACCGAAGACCAGACCAGTTGTGGAATGGTATCAAGGATGTCATACATGAAGAAAGCAAGAGGTCATTAAAAAGACAGGAAAGAAAGAAAAGACCAAAGTGGATGTCAGAAGAGACTCTGGAACTTGCTCTTGAACATCGAGTAGCTAAAGCAAATGGAAGAAATGATGAAGCAAAAGAGATGAACAGGAGATTTCAAAGGACAGCTCGAGAAGACAAAGTAAAGTATTTATAATGACATGCGCAAAGACCTGGAGTTAGAAAACCAAAAGGGAATAACATGTTCAGCATTTCTCAAGCTGAAAGAACTGAAGAAAAAATTCAAGGCTCAAGTTGCAATACTGAAGGATTCTACAGGGAAAATATTAAACGACGCAGGAAGCACCAAAAGAAGATGGAAGGAATACACAGACTCACCATACCAAAAAGAACTGGTCGACATTCAACCATTTCAGGAGGTAGCATATGATCAGGAACCGATGGTACTGAAGAGCTGCAAGCTGCACTAAACGCGTTGGCAAAAAACAAGGCTCCAGGAATTGATGGAATACCAATTGAGATGTTTCAGCAAACGGATGCAGCACTGGAAGTGCTCATCGTTTACACCAAGAAATCTGGAAGACAGCTACCTGGCCAACCGACTGGAAGAGATCCATATTTATGCCTATTCCAAAGAAAGGTGATCTAACTGAATGTGGAAGTTATCAAACAATATCATTATTATCACACACAAGTAAAATTTTGCTGAAGATCATTCAAAAGCAGTTGCAGCAGTGTATCGACAGGCAACTGACAAAAATTGAAGCTGGATTCAGAAGAGGACATGAAACCAGGGATATCACTGCTGATGTCTGATGGATCCTGGCTGAAAGCAGAGAATACCAGAAAGATGTTTACCTGTGTTTTATTGACTATGCAAAGGCATTCGACTGTGCAGAACATATCAAATTATGGCTAACATTGTGAAGAATGGGAATTCCAGAACACTTAACTGTGCTCATGAGAAACCTGTACATTGATCAAGAGGCAGTCGTTCGAACAGAACAAGCGGATACTGTGTGGTTTAAGGTCAGGAAAGGTGTGTGTCAAGGTTGTATCCTTTCACCCTACCTATTCAATCTGTATGCTGAGAAAATAATGAGAAGCCGGACTATATGAAGAAGAATGGGGCATCAGGATTGGAGGAAGACTCATTAATAACCTGCGTTATGCAAATGATACAATCTTGCTTGCTGAAAGTGAAGAGGACTTGAAACACTTGCTGACAGATTACACCTCAACATAAAACAAAAATCCTCACAACTGGACCAATAAGCAACATCATGATGCATGGAGAAAAGACTTAAGCTGTCAAGGATTTCATTTTACTGGGATCCACAATCAACCCCCATGGAAGCAGCAGTCAAGAAATTGAAACACACAATGCATTGGGCAAATCTGCTGCGAAAGACCTCTTTAAAGTGTTGAAAAGCAAAGATGTCCCCTTGAAGACTAAGGTGTGCCTGACTCAAGCGATGGTGTTTTCAATCACCTCATATGCATGCAAAGTTGGACAATAAATAAGAAGTCCAAAGAAGAATTTACGCCTTTGAAATGCGGTGATTGCGAAGAATATTGAATATTCTATGGACTGCCAAAAGAATGAACCAATTTGTCTTGGCAAAAGTACAACCAGAATGCTTCTTAGAAGCAAGGATGGCAAGACTATGTCTCACATACTTTGGACATGTTATCAGGAGGGATCATTCCCTGGAGAAGGACATCATGCTTGGTATAGTAGAGGGGCAGGGAGAAAGAGTAAGACCCTCAACGAGATGGACTGACATAGTGGTTGCAACAGTTGGCTGAAGCATAACAATGACTGTGAGAATGGCGCAGGACTGGGCAGTGTTTCGTTCTGTTGTATGTAGGGTCGCTGTGAGTCAGAACCAACTCGACACCAGCTTACAACAACAACAACTAACCCACAGCTCTGAACATTAAAATATTACAATCAGTTCTTCTTTACTGAGTCCTAAGAGCAGGGTCCGTATTCTAGTTATTGCTGTATCTTCAGTAGAATGCTTGGCATATGGAAGTTTAAGTGTGTTATAATTTTGGACACAGGGAATAGTTCACAGAGTACATCTGATGTTACCCTGTTCTTGCGTTCATCTCCCACTTCCCAAGAGACCCTAATTTATGGGATCTAGTAGATCAGAGAAAACTGACTCCATCCCAGGCTCTAGGGAGGGGAGACACCGCCTAGATATACCATCAAGGCATTCTATGCTCTCTGCCACAGTGACGGGTTTAGGATAGACATACAGCCTTGGCCAGCTCCAACAAAGTAAATCTCAGGACTACTCTTGCTGGGAATGCTGGGACCAAGGCATGCTCTCTTGCCCTAGATGTTGTGGCATGAAGATATGAATTTGGGAACTGTGAAAGCTATTTCTCCATCTTGAGGGTGAAGCCTACACACACAGGAGAGCAGAGCCAAGAGAAGGGCAGAGAAACAGAACAGGAGCCCTGATGACATCATGAATCTTTCCCTCAATCCATACCTTAAGCCTGGCCTATTTCTAGGCTTTTCAGTTACATGAATCAATGAAGTCCCTTTATTGTATAATCCCATTTGAACAGGTTTTCTGTTACTTGCAACTAAAAAAACCTCTAACTGACAAAAAAGGTAAATGTAGAGTACCGTTTCAAAAACTGGGAGGAACATAATTTGATGGATGGGAAGAAGTAATATAATCATAAAACAAAAAGGTGAGAAAGTAGGAAGAGGCAGTGAAAAGAACATGAGAGGAGATGAGGGAGGAGTCACATAGGAAAGATGAGTCATTTGTAAAAACATTTCTGCCTTCAACATGCTTACCTGTTCAAGACTCCATTGGAAACTAGGGCTTCTTTAGGATGAAAATACTTGTAATATACATTTCTAACCACAGCATCTTTAAGGAGAAAAAAAGGAAAGGTACATTTTAGACTAAGTTTGACTTTATAAACTCATAAACTTTTATCTGGAAGGAGCCCTGAAACTCTATTCCAATCCCTCCCATTTTATAAACAGAAGAAGCCTAGGCCCAGAAGGCTCAGATTACTGGTGAAACCAGAATGCAAGATCATGTACCCTCAGCCCAGGGCCTTTTCCACAGTACCTCTGGGCCCAGAGGGCTACAATGTGAGTAATAAATAGGAAATCACTGCCTCTATGCCTCTATTTAAAAAAAAAAAAAAAATTACCATTATTAACCATGATTCCATATTCTTCTAGTAGAAAGTTAATGTTGGTGTCAAATCTGGATTCTCCACCTTCTCCTAGCATTACAAGAATATCTCCACCACCATCAAGATATTTCTTCAAGACTTCAAACTACACAAAGGAAAAAAAAAAAAAAAAAAAAATCTGTGAATACACCCAAAAGACACGCGGCCAAAGTACTATAAATAAGACCTTTTAGGTAACTAAAAAGCAAACATTTCAAATCTATACGGCACTCAAATTTAAATGCATAAAGCTCCAAAATGCTCAAAATAAACTGATATTTTCAAAGTTGACTCTCTGACGGGCAAAGCAAAAGTAGGAAAATATTAGCTAAAGGAACTTCACAGTTCTGCCTTCTCCTCACTGCTTCCCCGGCCCAAGGAGATCAGGATGAAAGCACTGCATACCACCCCCAGGAAGGAATTCTGTTCAAAGTCACTGACTGACCAAGCCTTAGTGAGTCATGCATGTTGTCTGATTCTCTCCTGGAAGCTCTTTCTTGCTTTCACAAAGCGAATGTGAGGAGAAAAGTCTAGGGCTGCCCCTTGCTGATCCAGCCTGAGAAAACCTGGGGTGGGTGGTCCATGTATGTATTTGTATATAAAGTGTATAGATATAATACTGTAATAATTTATTATAGTTATAAAACATACTCCCCAAAATGAAATTTTTAAAGATAAAAAAAATACAAATAAATAAGATTTCTTTCTGGTATCCCAGTGGTTTATAATATGCACCCACTTTGGAAACCACTGGCCAAGTCCAGCTCTGGTGAGCATACCCCTCTTGCTCTTCCACATTCCCTAGATATCCCCCCAGGATACAGAAAACACAGTGATACAATTAACATCACCAAGGGGGCTTTCTCCCAAATGAGGCGGAACTTCCTAAATCCTGAGCTCTGCACAACAGACTGAATTCCATCTGCCTTTGTCAAACTTCTTTTCCTACATAGCCCTAAATATCTGTTGTGTTCTATGACTTAAAAAAAAAAAAAAAAAAAAAAAAAAAAACCCATTGCCACTGAGTCAATTCTGACTCATAGGGCCTTACAGGACAAAGCAGAACTGCCCCATAGGGTTTCCAAGGAACGACTGGTGGATTTGAACTGCCAACGTTTTGGTTAGCAGCTGAGCTCTTACAGAGCTTGACTGGTGACAGCAAATCAGGTCTAGTCTGCAATACGTATGTTCTCAGAACATAGCTTTTGCTTCGGAAATCCTACTGGGACTTGGCACTTACGATTGTGCTGTTCTGGGATTTGCCCATGTCTTCTAAGCACAGTGAATATGGTGTTGGTATTGATGTTCACTGTGTCCCTTGGCCATTTGGCACTATGGGAAAAAGAGCCACACCAATGATTCAGTGTGTAATGACAGTTTTTCAGATGTTGAAGGAGCTCCCATAGGCTTCACCTAGTCATCTAAGACAAACTCTTCTGGTTAAAGAACAGATATTCAGTGCAAATTAACAGCTTCATATTTCTCCATGGCAAAAACAGGAAGAAAGATTAATTTTGCAGACTTAAATTTTAGAGGCTGACTTCATAATAGGAATGCATTCACACCATTAGATTTTACGTACTAGGGCAGCAAACTTGGGGTATTTTATATTGCTAACATTATATTATCCAAGCCACTGGCTCGCAATGGAGGCAGTTAAACCACATAGTTAGGTGTTCTAGATTGTCAAACGTTAATGTTTAGGGGCATTTTAGTGGGTGGGGATCAGGGATGCTAAAGGTCCTACAATGGTCAC